TCATCTTCCTGCTTATATATTGCATTGGAACAAGTTACGGTCGCTAGCCAATATTACAAAAGAACGAACGAAATCCCCTCAATATGTAGGATTTTGGGGCCTGTTTGTGCATTTATAGAGACTAAAAAGCACTTACGACAATGGTACTTGTTGATTACAAAAGCACTTCATGGAGCATTTTTAAATGTTTTTTTTCGAGAAATAGCTTAGATTTGTGATATAAGATTTTTTTATTTTTTTTCTTGTTTCTAACAAAAGCGCTTATCAGTGTGCATCTCACACAATAAGCACTTACTAAAAGTGCCTTTATTAAAATAAAAAAAAATTGAATTTTTAATAAAAATACAAGAGTTTTGTGGGAAAACACTTGAAAGTGCTTCCTAAAGATTGTCAATTGCTTACAATTTTTTTTGGTTATTTGAAACTGTTTATAGTCATTCTAAAAGTATCTCCAAACAATAAGCTTAAAATATGAAAATAGAAAACTCTTTAAGATCACTCCACTCTCTCTAGACAACTGATTTTTTTTTCTTTGACGTGTGCGTATCCTACTCTCATCTATTTATGTTAATTATTGATAATTACTGCACAGTACTAATCACCTCTTGTGACTCAAACAATTGCCGGTGGGTTTTTAACTGGAAGAAGATGTAGGCAACATATGCTATGAGCATAAAAATGCTGCTTGTTCTTGACAACTGAAGAGTGTCGATGGCAAAGGGATTGCCCAACCCTGAGGCATATCTGAACATCAGTGGCAGCATGTGGCACAGTAAACCCAACAATAAAAGTAGTGAATTCACATCAGCCTGCTTCTGTTAAATCCAAAAAACAAAATGAAATTAACAAAAATTCTCCCATTAAATGGTTTTCTAAATTGTTGAATCAAAGGGGTTAATTTGTTGATAATTAAAGTTTGGATCAATTAATATTAATAAAGATTAATATTTCTTACTCTGTCATATCTTTGTTCTTTTTTCAGGTTGGCCAAGCCTCCAAAGAGAAGCGAGGTCCCAAGAACAAGGAGGAGGTTTGAGAGAATGGAACCCAAAAGGGAGTATTTCACAACATGTATTTTGTTTTGGCGAAGAGCAAAGAATGCTATGATCATCTCTGTTGCATTTCCACATGTTGCATTGAGAAGTCCTCCAACTGCAAATTAAATCTAAACTAATCAACCCCAACAATACATACATACATACATACATACATACATATATATATATGTATATATATATATATATAGCATCAGTTCACACTGATTGAATATTGTTTAGCAATAATAACTGGACATTCTAATTAGAAGTGAGTTCAATATACCTGTTGGACCAGTGAAGTAAGCAATTTGCCTGAATTGTTTAATGTTTTTTAGTAGACAAAATTGGAGGATAAAAAAACAATGTTAGAACTTTGTGTACATATATGTGTTTGTTTAGAGCTGCTATTTGGACTCTGAAAAAGTTCATCATACACTTTTTTCTAACGAAAAAGTATACGAAGTAAGATGATTTTTTCAGTGTACTAATAGCAGTTTCATTTTATAAAAATACTACTTTCTAATTAGCAAAACTGCTTACTCAGTGAGGAAGCTGACACGTTCAGCAAGTGGGGTGAGTCCGAGCAAACTCAAAGCAAAAATCCAAGGCTACATTGCACAATTAGAACAAATATAAATGATCATAAAAATAAAAATAAAAACTATTTAATTAATAAAACAAGGAAAATTTTCATTTTTCTGATTAATTTTTCCAGATTAATTAATTAAATGAGATCATGCACTTACTCTCCCAAAGTGATAGAAGTCAGCCAGGATTGCAAGGGGGATGGCTGGGAAGAGCACTGCAAGCTTGGTGCCAAGAACAACCTCATGCAAATTGTTGAGAATATTTCTGAGCATTTGGAATCGAACATTCGAAACTAGAATCGGGTCGGATTTTTTTCGTACAATCGAAGCTGACAAGTTTTGTGGTGTCTTTGATCCGTTAATCTCCTTATTATTTCCTAAACCCTTGTTATAATTACTAATCCCATTCTCTATGTTGTTCAAAGCCTCCTGGGATTCTTCCATGATAGATGTGTCGATCAAAACAAAACCCTAAACCCTTCCACTTCCTCCACTGCGAATGAATGAAGTACTTAGAGGGTTGATGAACAGAAAATGTAGTCTCTCTCTTTCTTTCTCAGTTTGTTAAGAAACAATGGGTTTTACATATATAAATATAGGATATGGCAGCTTCCTGGAATTTTCTCAGTTTGTTTATATTCATGCATGAGTCTCCACGTACTTAAAAAAGACTGAACTCTATCAGGAGTTACAAGCGGTGTAAGGTTGACTACAAAAATAAGTAATTAATACCTGTTAAAGCACACAGATAGACACGCATATTCATCCATATAAGGCTGTACCATACAAACAAATAATAATTAAATTTTCTAAATACAAAAGTGAAATTATTTATGCATATTTTAGCGGTGGCGAATTCAAGAAATATTATTGGAAGGTCAATACGATCAGTCAACATCGCATAAAAATTTTTGAACAGAGGAATATGCAAATTGGTATTTCATTGAGCCTTGGTAGGCCTGAGGTTATTTGCAAAGTCATATTGTACGCCTTTCGACTGATTTCAATAGTTTTTTAGGAAGCATGCCGGCTGATATAAATAGCTTTTGAGCAGCCTATCAAAAGATGCCCATTGCAATGCATACAAAGACATGAGATAAGCAGTTATCTTGTCCGATGCCCATGAAAGCAATTCATTGTAATTGAAGAGCAGCTTTTAAGAACATCTCAGATTTTGGTTGCATACTTCTATTTCCACCCAGCATAAACGCTCTTCCTACCAAGAAAAATTCGAACTTACCATTTTACCTATACAAAATGAAAAAAAAAAAAATATATATATATATATATATAGTTCAATCATACACACAACGATGGTATTTTTTATTTTTATTTTTAATTAAGGTAGATGATTGTGGCGGAGTAGAGCAGTTTAATTAAGGTAGATGATTGTGGTAGATGATGGTAGTAGTGTTTGTCTAGGGGCAAAATGGGAAGTTTGATTTGCTGGGTGTATTTATGCTGGGATGAATCAACTTGCAAAAAATTATTGTTGATATCAGATCATGAAATTACTTTGTAGAAAGGATCTAAACGAATAGTGCTGTTCTGGAAAATATTTTTCTCACTTTCAATGTATTACTTATGTTTGTGAATCATCCATTAACACTTGTAGAGCACTGCATGCGTGCTCTATCCTCTTACAGATCAAAACCCACACCTACCCAGTAGTCACTCAGTGACACGCACACACATATATAGTAATTAAGAATTTAATTCTCTTTCGGGTGTTGCATTTCACTGAAAGCACTGTGTCATTGATTATAATTAGCTCCAATATCTATCAGTATGCTCCATGGAAGCAGTGAGGGGAGAGCTCTCTCCTCGAGAGGGTAATGGCAGCAACAATCTGCAGGTACGTATCTGTCGTACCCAATATTCCGAACTTTCGTGGAATTTTCAAGCCTCCCTCGGAAGAGAATCAAACGGTTGTCATGTCTTACAGTTTGATCAAACAAAAAAAGGTTAAAAAAACCATAAACTGACATAAATTTACAATACTGGTCTCTTCTTCGACAAAACAAAGTATTTGACGAAGTTTCCTGAAAAACATACACTCATTTTCTTCTCCTTGCCCTTCAAGATATGGAAATTGTGATCCGTATTCAAAAGAAACCCTGTTGGATACGTTTTGTCTATTATTGTCATCTGTTCATATGCTACGACAACTAATTCTTAGTTAGGATTGTTTGAGGACTAGTTACAATACATGCATTTATTCGATATATTCACAATCTAATGATTAAATACGGTTATATATATGATATTCTCTTATTTTAGTTGCATATTTGACCATTAGTTAATATATTAAGAAAATGCATGTCTTGTGTGTAATTTGGTCCTATAAACTTCAATTTTTCGCTATAAGACATTATTTCACTTGTTTGTGTCACTATTAGAATGCATTATTCATTCATTTTACTTTACATGTCCATAATGCTCTTGCATGTCTTCCGAAGAATATCATAGATATCTCTAGCTTAAAGTGAAAAAAAAAAAGCTTCTTCTAAACTTGAGTATGTGACTAGATGGTAAAAAGATGACTATTGGGCAAATTGCACACACGAATATATACACAAGTATCGAAACCAACACATGTACTTGTAGATGATTGCACAAGAAGTTACATATTTTCATAATCATTCATATGATATAGGGGTACGCCTCGGCTTGATGTTGTGGCAATGTGGGTTGATTCTGTGTGATGGTGTCGGTTGAGTAGTGGCGATTTTGGGCACGTGCAATAGATGCCTTTACACATGGCTTTCAATCCTAAAGGGTCCCTAAAAGATAATATCATCTGCATATGTACAAGCTTGGTTTATGGCAATAAAAAACTTAATCTTTAGAAAAATTTATAGATTCTGCATGTGAATAAGAGAAATATGGCCACCATGTGCATAAGAGAAATTAACTTTATGATTTAGTTTGGTTATACCGACTATGCTCAAAGTTTTGTTTTTATTTATTTATTTCATGACTTTTGTTGATTTGAACAATAACTCAAGCAATAATACTCTGTATATCTCCCTTATTACTACAACTATAGATATATAAATTAGCTTTGCAGCATGAGCTTCTATGCAATGGCTCATTTATTATCTTTCGCATAATGCTCTTAAAATCTCAGAGACGGCCTTGTAATTGGATAAGAAGATAAGTTAATTGAAAAAATATCTATTGTGTATCGTATATTTCTTTCTTATTGATTATCACTGGGAACTTTTACACCAAACCAAAAAAGAAAAAATAAGCATGGGAAAAATTGATTTAAGAACAAAGGGAAAAAAAAACACAAAAGTTGCAATATGTGGCATTAATAGAAATAACAAAACTTGTAACCGAATAATGAAATAACAAAAACTAGTGTGGTAAAGCATGATTTACAAAAATTAAGGTTGCAATAAACATGAAGTTTCATAAATTGTTAGGGTCGGTTTTGAGGTTTTTGAGAATCTTAAGGTTTTGCGTTTAGAAGCTTCAAGAACAGAGGAACCAAAACGCAGAGCAGAAGCAAACCCTAGCTCACGAAATGGCGGAGAAAATGGCACCGGAGAAGCGCCATAGCTTCGTTCACAATGGTAATTCTTTCTTCCTTTTCCAATTTTCACGTTTGATTTTGGTTTTCCGCGACTGAATTTTGTGTTCGGATTTAAATTTTAGGTCAGAAAGTGTTTGAATGGGATCAAACCCTAGAGGAGGTAAATATGTACATAAGTTTACCCCCAAATGTTCCTTCAAAGCAATTTTTCTGCAAAATTCAGTCGAAGCACGTTGAAGTCGGCATCAAAGGCAATCCTCCGTACCTCAATGTGAGTAAATTCAATGTACTTTGATCCATTTTCGTGAAAAGATTGAAGCTTTTGGTATTTGGTTTAAACCGGTGCGTTTTTCGGTTTCGGGTCTACAGCATGACCTTTCTTGCCCGGTGAAGACGGACTGTTCTTTCTGGACACTAGGTAATTAGTGTTTAGTATTTTCATAGTATCTCTAATTTTGGTAATTTTGGATATTTTATGCTGATTTTTTTATTAATTATGTGTTAGAGGATGATATAATGCACATAACACTGCAAAAGAGGGCCAAAGGTCAGACATGGGCATTACCTATAGTAGGTGAGGGTCAGCTCGATCCTTACTCCACGGATCTTGAACAAAAGCGCCTTATGCTTCAGAGATTTCAAGAAGAGGTGAATTACTCTTATGCATCTTATTCTCACTGTATGTATTTATGTATTACTGTTTGAATTCATGAAATGAATGTGTTGCTAGTTTATTATGTTAGTGTTCCTTGTGGCATCTGTGAGATACTCTAGCGAGAGCGTTTCTTTAATATCAAGGAGATTGATTTTAAAAAATGAACAGGATTTTGGATGCATAAAAGATGTAATTGCGAGGTAATTCATAATAGGAGATGCAAAGCTCAGCATTGTGTTGTTGTGCCTTATGTTCCATGATTACAGGGTTTTCTTGCAACTAATTGGTCTATACTTTTACTAGGCTTTCGTAGATTAGCATGTGGCGCTTTTATTGCGATTGTACCCAAAAATTCACATGCTGAATTTTACTCGTAAGAAAGAATGGAGAATGTTTGTAACACAATTTTACCTGTATACAATAGTTTTCACTAACAAGACGATTAGCTTGATTTTCTATCAAGATTAAATGCTGATGTAAAAATGAGACAACGAAGATGAAAAAATGTTGATGCGGGATCTGAGTAACTTTATGTACTTCAACTTAGTTTAATTCTAGTTACCCTAACTAGGACTCCACCCATGACACTGACTTTTATTATTAAATTGCTAAGAAATCAATGTTTTCTGGTTGTCTACCGATCATATGAACCTCAACCAAATTTGCTCTTTGATGAATTTTCAAATAATATTGCTAGTGATTCTTTGGTCCTTTGCAGAACCCAGGGTTTGATTTCTCACAAGCCCAGTTCACTGGAGGCTGCCCTGATCCAAGGACCTTTATGGGCGGTATCCGCTCTGATTGACGAGTTTGCTGCATCAGTTACCTTTATTAGCCAGCTGGTATGAAATCCTGACCAACATCTAGTAAATATGACAACTTGATTAGCTGGCCAACTTGGCTTCCTGTGGTCTCTGTAAGAACTTCAGTACTACTTACAATTTGTTCTTTTTTATTTTCAGTATCTTGTCTATAACTGTAAAAATCTAGAATTTACGTAATTTATCTTCCAGTGTCTGCTTCCCTACTTTCCGGCAATGGCACGACCAAATAAATCTCTTTTTTTTTATGAAGTATGATTTGCAGCTTTGAACCATGATGCGAGAAATAGAAATTAGGAAGTATCTTGATAAACATGTTGTCAGCATTAGGTCTTCCATTTTCTTAACTCCTTGTGAATATCTATCACCGAATACTGAGGGGAACTTAGAATATGATTTCTTGCTGCACATGCCAACATTTTAGACCATACAGTAACTTGCCCCCATCTTGCTCTGCTCTGAAAATTAAAGTTAGCAACATGCGAATGTTTGACATTTTGTTTGGCAGGTTCTGAAACCCCTCGATCCCGATATCCTCCAAACACCGGGATGGGCACGTGTTGGCCGACACCCGAAGGTGACGAGTCCATTTTAACATGCATGTAAGTTATGAAGAAAAGAACGAACGTAACTAAAATATGTAGCTTTAAATATAATGAAAATGTAGCCTCCGGATCAATTGAAACACAAGCCCAGCAGTCAAAATCAAATAACATACCAGTGATCACTTTGGGGTCCAGCATACAAATCGGAGTAGCTGGTGTGAAATGACTAAAAGACTGTCTCGACGCCTCATTACCTGATCCTTCGAGATCGGGTGTTTGAAAGTGACTGCGACGTTTGAAAGTGAGTGTCTAGGGCCAATAGTAGAAGATGAGGAACGCTCCCTGGTGCGTCGAGATCGGAAACCAATTTGCACTGCGTGGTTATGTTGGGTATTTATCAAATATAGCAAAAAAATTAACTTATAATTTCGAAAATGTCAGTTTTTATAAAAAAATTTAAATATATACAAAATCTCATTTAAGTAGACACAAATATCCTCAAATTTAAAATCCAAACAAACTAAAAAAATCAAAACCCTAGACTTAAGAAATGGCGGTGACCTGTAAATGGGAGGAAACGGTCAAGACTTGTGCAGCCCTAAATGACAGGTGATTGTATTTTTTGCATTGTTTCTCATCTATGTTTTCTCTTTGCTTTTGTTGTTTCTTCTTCAATTGAATATTTATTAAAGAATGAGCTATCAATCTTAATGACGTTATTTATCTCAATTTTCCTTCGGTATGAAGCAATCTCTTTAGAATCTCTGAGTCTTCCATTGTAATTGTTTCATATATGCATTTCACATACTGAGAATATTCTATGAAATCAGTTCGTGCAATTATCTATTTGTATAATAACTTGTTTGTGCAAAGATTCATGTTTCCAGCTAATAATGTACATAACAAACCTCCATTTGTATAGAACACATTCATGTCTATTTGATTATACTGGAAAAAAAAAAAAAGCATGGAAAAGTTTTTACTATTGAATAAGGCTGGAAAAATTTTGCCATGTTTTAATTGGGTAGATTAAAAGATGTAAAAAAGCCTTTAGGAAACAATTAAAGTCGACTATATTATATTTTTCCAACCTGGGGACTGTCCTTATTGCTGAGAATTTGACTGATGTACTAAGGTTTCTTTGATTATTTATTGAAATAAAATTGAGAGATACTTTTGTTCTTCGTTTGGAAAAGAAAAGAAAATAAAAAGGAGATTTTTTTAGTGAGAGATTATAGCATAAGAAGTCTTTTAGTCAATAATTAGTTATTCATATAAATTGAGGGTACTTGTGTCTATTTAAGTGGAATTTTGAATATATTTGAAATTTTTTATAAAAACTGACATTTTTGAAATTAAGGATTAACTTTTGGTTATATTTGATAAATTCTCAGCTATGTTCTAGTTCATTTCAATAATTTTTGTAGTTAGACGAGATAGACTTGTACCACGTTTTCTAATCTTATGGAAAAGAAAAGAAAATAAAAGGGAGATATTTTTAGTGAGAGATTATAGCTTTTAGTCAATAATTAGTTATTCATATAAATTGAGGGTACTTTTGTCTATTTAAGTGGAATTTTGAATATATTTGAAATTTTTTATAAAAACTGACATTTTTGAAATTAAGGGTTAACTTTTGGCTATATTTGATAAATTCTCGGCTATGTCCTAGTTCATTTCAATAATTTTTGTAGTTAGACGAGATAGACTTGTACCACGTTTTCTAATCTTATGGAAAAGAAAAGAAAATAAAAGGGAGATATTTTTAGTGAGAGATTATAGCTTTTAGTCAATAATTAGTTATTCATATAAATTGAGGGTACTTTTGTCTATTTAAGTGGAATTTTGAATATATTTGAAATTTTTTATAAAAACTGATATTTTTTAAATTAAGGGTTATCTTTTGGCTATATTTGATAAATTCTCGGCTATATTCTAGTTCATTTCAATTATTTTTGTGGTTAGACGAGATGGACTTGTACCACGTTTTCTAATCTTATGCGAAGAGATTTTGTTACACAATCAGAATATATCTTTCTCATTAAGTTACTAGTTGATACAATAATAAAGATTCTCGATAACACTTGAAGAAATTACTGTTCACGTGGCATAGGAGATTTTGAGACAAACACAATCTTAATAATAAATATTTTCTTTATGGAATCTTAATAATAAATTTAGAAACTTGTTTAGTGTAATAAGAGATATTATTTTCCTTGTACTAGTTTACTAGTATTCATTTTTATTGAGATGTTTTAGATTCGACTTTTGGTATCAGGAATTTGAACCACATTATTGCTAAATCATTGTAAGAATCCACCTTCCACTCTCATTTCGGAGAAATTTTTCATTGTAATGGAAACATTGATGATACATCACGTGTTTTTATATAAGTAGTGGGAAATTGTATCTTTGAAGTTATTAACTTTTTATCATACATATTCCACCGTTGATATAGTGACACGTGCTGTACCATATTGTGTTCCAGTCACATTGAAAAATCTCTTCTCACTTCGGATAAATAATACCGTTCGTTAAAAAAAAGAGAAAATTAGGTTCATATCTTTCTTTTTGTTACTCCATTGATTAAAATCCTATTCATTTTGAATTTTTGAACAAGGTCCTTGGGTATTAATAACGTCATTAATTATGTGAATAATAAAATATTTTTATTTTTAAATATATTCCTATAGTGTTAAAAATGTTACAATTAGTATATTTATATTTATGGCTAAATTTTTTATCATATATTTTTATTTTTAGTTTGTACCTATTTTTAATTTGCAAATATTTTTTAATTTGTACCAATTTTCTTTTCATTTTTAATTTGTACCCATATATTAGTTTCTTTTTGTGCCTATATTTTTTAAAGTTTTATTTGTGTTTGTATCCATATGTATACCGTCACATGACATTGTATATTTAATCAATGATAGAAAAATTACATATGGTATATTTATGTTTTATGCCTAAACTTTGTATCATATATTTATATTTTTAGTTTGTACCCACTTTTAATTTGCAACATTTTTTTTTTAATTTGTAGTATTTTCTTTTTAGTTTTATTTTGTACCCATGTATTAATTTCTTTTAGCGCCTATATTTTTAAAAATTCATTTGTACTCATAATTTTTAATCTTTTATCTGTACCCTAATTTATTTATAATGTATCCATTTTTCTTTATTAATGTACCACTTTGCTATATGTGAAATGTACCAATTTTTTTTGTAAAATGTTCCAATTTTTTTTAACACTATGGATACATTCTTTTGCCATTTATTATTTCTTATTTTCACATAGTTTTTATTCATTTATTCAATCAAAATGTTTGAATTTTTTTATTATAACCGTTTATAATAGTATTATAATGAGAGATTGTAAATATATAGGATTATAAATCTCATAAAATATCAAACAATTAATGTCAAAACTATAAAATTATAAATATTAATAGTAATATAATGAGGAGTACAAAGTCAAGGGATCTTGATCAAACTTTGAATACTATTAAGGTTTTAATCAAAGAATATTAAGAATTAAGGACTGTATTCAAGTATCTTAAAAAAAATTATAGTGACAATTCCCAATGGTCCTCCCTCAGCAGCAGTCACCCTCCCGCCATCTCATCCGCATGCGGGCATGCACTATAAATTCTTTACGACACCTGCACATGCAAAAATCCAAAACTTTGTCTTCCTTCCCGTCTTCTCTTTATTCTCTCTCTCTCTCTCTCCTCATTTCTTCAATGGCGCCTCTCAAACCCTAACAATCTTTCTTCTTATTCTTTGTTTTCTCACCCATGATCCCTAAACCCACCTGCGGATCACACAATCGAATCCAAACCCGCCAAACCCCGCATGGTCGAGGCCCGAATCAACCCAATTCAGCTCCCAGGGTCCTAATCGCCGGCAACTACTGCCACGACGTTTTATTCAAAGACGACGTCATTTTGGCAGAGACTCTAGGCGGGGCTGCCTCCTTCATCTCCAATGTCTTCGATGGATTTTCCGTTCCCTGTAATTTGGTCTCCAAAGTCGGGCCGGACTTCGCTTACTCGGTCCCGCGTGACCCGATTGTTGTACCCGATTGCAAAACCACTCTCTTCCACGCGCATTTTGATTCCGGCGTCAGCGGTGGGGAACGGCGTGACCGGGTTCTGCAACGGGTAAGAGCTTGCGACCCGATTAGGCCCTCGGATCTCCCCGAATACAGATTTGATTTCGGAATGGCTGTCGGTGTCGCCGGTGAGATCACCGTTGAGACGGTGGAGAAGTTGGTTGAGACTTGCAGCACTGTGGTTGTCGACATTCAGGCTCTGATTCGAGCTTTCGACGGAGTCGACGGGACCGTGAAGCTTGTGGGTTTGAAGGAGAATGGCTTCTTCCACCTCTTGCCGCGAATTGGGTTTTTGAAGGCTTCGGCGGAGGAGGCGTTGTTTTTGGAGCTGGAGGAGGTGAGGAAGCTCTGCTGTGTTGTGGTGACGAACGGGAGGCGTGGGTGTAAAGTTTATTGGGGAGACAGTGAGGTGGAAGTTGGGCCTTTTCCAACGAACCAGGTTGATCCGACGGGCGCAGGAGACAGTTTCCTTGGTGGGTTTGTCGCCGGACTTGTGAATGGCTTGACTGTGCCTGATGCTGCACTGCTCGGCAACCTTTTCGGGTCACTGACTGTTGGCAAAATTGGATTGCCCAAGTTTGATTCCAAGTTATTGCAGGTTTATCTCTCATTTTTCATTGCCATTGCTCTGCTTCGGTTTTGGATTTTAGGATAGCATGTAGATTTGTTCAATAGTGTATAACTTATGCCACTAATATTGTCTAATAGATTTGAATTCGTATTTCGATATGATAGATTTGGTTAAGTTCTGTTCTTGTATATAGAGCGATTATTATAGCCGGATCATGCTGTTATGCTGCTGAAACAAATGCATATCTCTATGTGAGCTTGTGTTTTCCAGTTTTTTCTTTCTCTACATAGACTAAAAATTTGATCAGTTTCCAACTTGTGTGTATCGGCGAATATTAACGACTAAGTTTTAACCAATTGTTTCGATAGTGAGCCGAGGATGTTCTGTTTGACAAATATCTAATTGTAGTTGTTAAAGATGCTCCACATGCAGTGCACTGTGCTTTACAGATTCCACTGTGCTTTACAGATTGGAATATGGTTCCCACGTTAAGGATGTATGATTAT